GCTGGCGGGAGGCGGCGGCGGCGCCATCGCCATGAGCGCTCCCGGCCCCGAGCCCGAGCCCGCCGCCGGCTCCAGCCTCGGCCCGCTGCTCCGCACCCTGGAGGACCCCGCCGCGCCGCCGGGAGAGCTGACGGACGCGCACCTCACCATCGTGGGGAGAGCGCGGGGCACACGCGGGGCTGGGGGCAGGGAGAGGAGGAGGAGGGAGCGGGGGGGGGAGGGAGGGAGGAGTGAGGGGAGGAAGAGGAGGGAGGGAGGAAGGAGCGCATCCTCGCGGGGTGTGCGCATCGCCGAGCCTCCCACCCCCGGCTGCGTGAGGAACGTTGGGAAACAACAACTTTATTGTCATGGCAAAGCTTTGCGAATGGAAGGGTGAAGTTTTAAGTGGAGTTTCTCGGGGTTTTGCCTCGTTTTCCTTGCGTTTCTTTCTGGAGCCCCATCCAGATGCGGGTTGTGCCTTTGCCCGCATCTCTCCGATTTTACCACGTGCGAAGGCACGATCTCTTTATCTCGCTGTCTCCCTTCGGTTCTGCAGTGAATTTTAAACTGTAGCCACTCACACAGCAGATTTTAAAGGTTTATATAAATAACTGGCAGCAAAAAAAAACCCTCCTGATGTAAGTATTAAGCAGCAACATTCAGGTTTCTCAGGAAATCAGGTTTCCCAGGTTGTCCCTGGATGACTGAGCTCAGCACGGTTTGGGTTTTGCAGTGGGAAGCTGATGATTAACCTTTCATGGGATAATCCCCGCTTTCCTGCAGGGATGCTCCTCACACATGTGCAGAGTCATCCTTGCTGCCTGTCAGACCAGGATTTTCCTGCATTCTGGAGCTGCTCGTCAGGAAGGTGCTTTTTCAGCTCCTGTATTTCTGCCTTCTCTAATTTGCAGCAAGTCATTTAAAGTTTGCATGCTAAATTTTGATGTTTTTATAGGAGCTGACTGAAAAAATGAGAGCCCTTAATGTTTTGATGACTGCTCTTTAGGCAGAAAATGATTCATTACTCACTTTGAGCTGTAACACAGGATTTTGCTGCTGGGTCACACCTTGTGCTGGCATTTTTACTCTTTAGCTCCTTCAGTGTTTTGTTGATTTCCTTCAGGAAAATACCCTGCTGTGTGTCAGAACTTGAAAGTTAAGTTAGTTACAAGGTATTTAAACTGTAAATATTGTTTGTTTTCCCTCCTGCTCCCGGCAGTCGCTTGAGTGGTGAAGGAGGCAAGGCGTTCACTGCAAATTTCAGGAAACACTTCCCCCAACTCTGCAAGGTGTTCAAGGTATGGTTCTTCCATTCAGCTCTCTTACATTTCGGTGAACAAAGATATATTTTGGTGGGCAAGGTCAGTGGGCGTAGAAGGACTCAAATTTCAGTTCATTTATAGAGTCACAGAATCATTAAGGTTGGAAACAACCTCTGAGTCATGGAATCCAGCCTTTAATGGGAATGCAGGGTAGTGGCAGAGCAGGAAAGGGGTTTTTTGGCAAAATAGATCTTTGTTGTGATGAGGAATTACTGCAGAAATAACCAAAATGCTGAGTCTTGGATGTGTTCAGGCAGCATCCCACAGTCTAATCTAATCTTCCAGCCAGGAGAGATAGTGTGTTGTGGCTGCCTTAGAAACATTGCAGAATTCAGAATATGCAGAACATGTCAGGGATTTTTAAGGAGGAATGTAAAGGTTGTTCTTAGCCATTTTTTCCTTCTGTTTTAGAAGCCTGAAAACAATTGGAGAGTCAAGTGAGAGAACAACATACACAGCCAAAGTGAAAGACTTGGGATGTTTGGGATTTATTTCATTAAAGATGTTTTTATTACAGAGAGCAAAAATGCCTTCAGCATCTCACATTGTTTTATTGATTTGGTGTATGCAGAATTCATAGAGGGTTTCCAGCCTGGGTGGATTTTTCACCAGATGTTTGCTTTTTCCACTTCCCACCAGTGCTGGCATTCAGACAATGAACTCCATATTTCTCAGTTACTTTTCTAACCTGAGATTCTGTGGATTTGGGTTGTTTTTTTTTTTTCCAGGCACACATTTCCAGTCCAAACTTGGAGCTCAGTAATGCAGCATTGCAGGCCTTGGGCTTCTGCACTTTTAATTCAAATAACACAGCTGAATTATCTGGTAAGCAAACCAACTGTGGCTATAAATATATACATCAGAGCTCTTTCTTTATGTTTTTCATGGCATTTGTTTTCATTTTGACCAGGTTCTGTCTGTAATGTGAGCAGTGTGATCAGTTCATTAATTGCATCTTGTGCACAAGTGTGGTGGTGATTTTTCATGCTGTTACACTAATTCTGTTTTACTAACTTCTAGTCTCATTAAATGCTTTGGTAGCAATTCATTGTATGGAATTAGTGATCAGAAAGAGATATTCTTGTGGGAGAAGAGTGAAGAACCTATTTGTAGGATTTGGGAGTGCACAGTAGAGCTTTTCCACGTTTTCCAGCTTTTTCTCAGAGATTTCTTTGTTCCATCAAATCATGGAGTGGTTTGAGTTGGAGGAGACCTTCAAAGGTCATCTAGTCCAGCCCCAACTATTTCAAATTAATCCAAAATCTTACAACCTGCATTCCTAGGAAGTGCTGAATCCCTTTCACAAAAGGTTTTGTTTTTGAGAACTTGAGGCTTTGCCTCAAGGTAAAAGCACAGGATTTTGGTAACAGTGGAGAGGGCAGTTTTCCTGTTTGAAATTGGTTCTTTTGGTTCTTCTCCTCCATTTCTGCAGTGTCTTCTGCTTTCCTGTTGTACAAAATTCCCCCTGTTTCCTGTGAGAAGGAGGCCATTTCTAATAATTGTCTCTGTGGTATCTTTCTTTCCTCTCATTTTCTCTAACCAGTTGATAAATGACAATTTTATTACAGAATGTCAGGCTCCAGGAATCACAAAGCCCTGGAAACAATGGGGAGTTGAAAAGGAAGGGAGGACAAGCAGCTCCTGTACCTTTGGGTGTACTTTTGGTTGGGGGAGAGGAGTGAAAGTGTCCTTCCATTTCTCTGACTGTGAGAGCATTCACCCACAAAGTGCAGATTTGCAATAAATCAGACTTTTTACCCTTGAATTTTAAAGGAGCACATGATTTCTCTATCTGTGTTCTTAGTTGGATCTACGTCCTGTATTAACCTTATTTTTTATGTAATGAGCTACAGTTTTACCACCTTGAGTAACAAAAAGCTCTAAAATAAATTTGTGTCAAGTTATGACCAAAGTGCTGCTAAATTCAATTAAAATCCAAGAAATTTTGAATAATGAAATACTTCATCTTTAGCTCAGGTG